CCGTGTCTGCCGCTAGTTTTCCTCGGCTCTCTTTATGTTTTTGAGGGCGCAATGGCGGAGCTGTAAACAGCGGCGTCCTGACCAATCACAAGCTTGCGTAATCCGTCTCGTTCGACGGATGTTTAAAAAAGAGAGCTCGACTCCGTCCGTCCTTGCGGAGCTCTCCGGCAGGCACGCAAGGACGTTGCGTGTCTCCGCACTGACGCAGACGGAGAAGCATAAATCAGGCTTAAGTCTGAGAAGCAACCATATCCAGGTAATATATATTTTTTTTTTTGTTTAGTGAACCAGCTTTCAGGAATCATATGCTAACTTAGCTAGTTTCATTTATCTTTTAAGCAACTGAAAGACCTGTGGCTAAAAGTACAAATTACTATAGAACATACTAACAAGTAGATAAATAATATTGCCTAAATAAATTTTTATTTACTAATAAAAATATTTGATCTTCATGCTTATTTGTGTGCATAAAGTTTGTATACTGCATAAAATAGCATTGAAATATTAATTTTTATTGTCCTTATTATCTTAAGCCTAATGCCTGTATCTCTTTTAAAAAAGCATTCATTTAAACATTTTTACAGGCAGTTTGTGACCATCAGGGCCGCTTTATTAACACCTATGTGGGCTGGCCTGGGTCGGTCCATGATTCCAAGGTGCTCTGCCATAGTCCACTGTACAGGCAGTCTGCTATCCTCCTCCAGGACACTTCATCCTCGCAGATGGAGGGTACCCCTGCCTCCAACATCCACTCCCCCTCATCACCCCCTACAAACGGGTGGTTCCAGGTGTGGGAGCCCAGCGCTTCAACAGCCATCATTCCAGGCACGCTGCATCATAGAGTGTGCTTTTGGAATGATGAAGACCAGGTTCAGGACCATCTTCCTGAAAGCGCTGGAGGTGCACCACACCTTTGTACCTCATGTAAGTTAACACACAGTGGGAAAAAATGTTGGATGTATTCTTTGATTTACAATTAAATATATAATCATGTTTTGTCTGTATTCCAGGTCATCACAGCATGCACCATTCTGCACAACATCTGCCTCAGTGCTGGTGGCATTGTGCTGCAGGAGGATGAACCTGAGGATGATGTTGCAGAAGATGAGGGGGAGGCTGGCTTGGAGGCCGTCAGTGGTGCACTGTGGCGGGACCAACTTGTTGCTGAGGTGTGTGCTCTGGAGGAGGTACCACCAGACCACGATTACTGTTAGCAGGCAAGTAATTTATGTAGGGATCTCTAATTTAAAAAAGCATTTAGTCTTTTGGTCTGCTAGTTACACGTATTATATTAATAAATCCATATATCTCCTTTTGCATATATCTAAATGTTAGTGATGTGACAGCCGTTGATTGAGCCAGCCCAGCAAACCCTTTTGATGGACGATGCAGGGGACAGTGAGATGATGCATCCAGAAGCACCCGCTGCAGACCACCCTGTGTGATGCTCCACTCTCCAACCAGAAAAGTCCAGGCACTGGTCTCGGTTCCAGCACTCCATCCCATCTCAGGGATCCATGTTCTGCAGATTTATCACCGCCAAAGATTTCCTGTTTACCAAATTTAAACAGTCCAGGAAAAGTCACTCAGGTTAATCCTGCTTTAAATGCACATACTTGTTATATTGTTGTTATCTTCAAATGATTTTTATGTATCAGTTTTCCCTCACCATTAATTTATCCTATGTTGTTACTTAAAAAAAATCTGAATAATAATAAAACCGTTAAAATGATCCGAAAGGAGTTATCAATTAATAGAAATTTTATTACTTCGTCTTCGTCTTCGTCTTCCTCCGCTTATCCGGGTCCGGGTCGCGGGGGCAGCATCCCAATTAGGGAGCTCCAGGCCGTCCTCTCCCCGGCCTTGTCCACCAGCTCCTCCGGCAGGACCCCAAGGCGTTCCCGGACCAGATTGGAGATGTAACCTCTCCAACGTGTCCTGGGTCGACCCGGGGGCCTTCTGCCGGCAGGACATGCCCGAAACACCTCCCCGGGGAGGCGTCCAGGAGGCATCCTGACCAGATGCCCAAACCACCTCAACTGGCTCCTTTCGATCCGGAGGAGCAGCGGTTCTACTCCGAGTCCCTCCCGAATGTCCGAGCTACTCACCCTATCTCTAAGGCTGAGCCCGGCCACCCTACGGAGGAAACTCATTTCGGCCGCTTGTATCCGCGATCTCGTTCTTTCGGTCATTACCCAAAGCTCATGACCATAGGTGAGGATTGGGACGTAGATCGACCGGTAAATCGAGAGCCTGGCTTTCTGGCTCAGCTCCCTCTTCCCCACGACAGATCGGCTCAGCGTCCGCATCACTGCAGACGCCGAACCAATCCGCCTGTCGATCTCCCGATCCCTCCTACCCTCACTCGTGAACAAGACCCCGAGATACTTAAACTCCTCCACTTGAGGTAGGACCTCTCCCCCGACCCGGAGGTGGCAAGCCACCCTTTTCCGGTCGAGAACCATGGTCTCAGATTTGGAGGTGCTGATCCTCATCCCAGCCGCTTCACATTCGGCCGCGAACCTACCCAGCAAGAGCTGAAGGTCAGAGCTGGATGAAGCTAGGAGGACCACATCATCCGCAAAAAGCAGAGACGAGATTCTCCTGCCACCAAACTCGACACACTCCACACCACGGCTGCGTCTAGAAATTCTGTCCATAAAAGTGATGAACAGAACCGGTGACAAAGGGCAGCCCTGGCGGAGTCCAACCCTCACTGGGAACAGGTCCGACTTACTACCGGCTATGCGGACCAAACTCACGCTCCTCTGGTAAAGGGACTGAATGGCCCTTAACAGAAAGCCACCCACCCCATACTCCTGGAGCGTCCCCCACAGGGTGCCCCTGGGGACACGGTCATAAGCCTTCTCCAAATCCACAAAGCACATGTGGATTGGTTGGGCAAACTCCCATGCCCCCTCCATCACCCTTGCAAGGGTATAGAGCTGGTCCACAGTTCCACGGCCAGGACGAAAACCACATTGCTCCTCCTCTATCTGAGATTCAACTATCGATCGGACCCTCCTCTCCAGTACCTTGGCGTAGACCTTTCCAGGGAGGCTGAGGAGTGTGATCCCCCTATAGTTGGAACACACCCTCAGGTCACCCTTCTTAAAGATGGGGACCACCACCCCGGTCTGCCACTCCCTAGGAACTGCCCCCGATGACCACGCAATGTTGTAGAGACGTGTCAACCATGACAGCCCTAAAACATCCATAGCCTTGAGATACCCAGGACGAACCTCATCCGCCCCCGGGGCTCCGCCGCTGTGTAGTTGTTTGACTACCTCAGCAACTTCTGCCCCCGAGATCGGACAGTCCATCCCCAGGCCTCCCAGCTCTGGTTCCTCCTCAGAATGCGCATTGGTGGGATTGAGGAGCTCCTCAAAGTATTCCTTCCACCGTCCGACTATAGCCTCAGTTGACGTCAGCAGCTCCCCATCCCCACTGTAAACAGTGTGAGCGAGTTGCTGCCTTCCTCTCCTGAGGCGCCGGACAGTTTGCCAGAACCTCTTTGGAGCCGATCGATAGTCTTTCTCCATGGCCTCACCAAACTCCTCCCACGCCCGAGATTTTGCCTCGGCAACTGCCACTGCTGCACCCCGCTTGGCTATCCGGTACCTGTCTGCTGCCTCCGGAGACCCACAGACCAGCCACGCCCTGTAGGCCTCCTTCTTCAGCCTGACGGCTCCCCGAACCTCTGGTGTCCACCAGCGGGTACGGGGGTTGCCACCACGACTGGCACCGGCCACCTTACGACCACAGCTAGCCACAGCCGCCTCGACAATCGCAGAGTGGAACAAGGCCCACTCGGACTCAATGTCCCCCACTGCTCTCGGGACGTGGTCAAAGCTCTGCCGGAGGTGGGAGTTGAAGACGGTCTTGACAGGTTCTTCTGCCAGGCGTTCCCAGCAGATCCTCACTATGCGTTTGGGTCTGCCAGGTCTACGCGGCATGTTCCCTTGCCATCTGATCCAACTCACCACCAGGTGGTGATCAGTTGACAGCTCCGCCCCTCTCTTCACTCGGGTGTCCAAAACATACGGCCGCAGGTCAGATGATTCGACTACAAAATCTATCATCGACCTGTGACCTAGGCTGCCCTGGTACCAAGTGTACCGGTGGGCATCCTTATGTTCTAACATGGTGTTCGTTATGGCCAAACTGCGGCTTGCACAGAAGTCCAATAACAAAACACCGCTCGAGTTCAGATTAGGTGGGCCGTTCCTCCCAATCACACCCCTCCAGGTCAAGCTGTCATTGCCCACGTGAGCATTGAAGTCCCCCAGCAGGACAATGGAGTCCCCTGATGGAGCACTATCTAGCACTCGTCCCAGGGACTCCAAAAAGGGTGGGTACTCTGAACTGATATTTGGCCCATAAGCACAAACAACAGTCAGGACCCGTTCCCTGACCCGAAGGCGCAAGGAAGCTACCCTCTTGCCCCCCGGGGTAAACCCCAACACACAGGCAGAGAGTCTCGGGGCTAACAAAAAGCCAACCCCAGCCCTCCGCCTCTCACCCGGAGCAACTCCAGCAAAGTAGAGTGTCCAACCCCTCTCCAGGTCTCGGGTTCCAGAGCCAATGCAATGTGTCGAGGTGAGTCCGACTATATCTAGCCGGTACCGCTCAACCTCTGCCACAAGCTCCGGCTCCTTCTCCGCCAGCGAGGTGATGTTCCATGTCCCAAAAACTAGTTTTCTTGTCCGGGGATTGGACCGCCAAGGCTCCCGCCTTGGTCTGCCACCCGATTCGCATTGCACCGGACCCTTCATGTTCCTCCTGCGGGTGGTGGGTCCACAGTTGGACGAGCCCATGTATCCGGTTCGGGCTGGGCCCGGCCGGGCCCCATGGGCGAAAGCCCAGCCACCAGGCGCTCGCTCACGGGCCCCAACCCCAGGCCTGGCTCCAGGGTGGGACCCCGGTAACCCTCCGGGCCGGGTACTACGACTCTTCGTTTTAACCGCCATGAAAGATCCTTCGAAAAAATTTTTTATTACATTTCATCAAATGTCAAATACATTCCAACAAATATAAAATTTCATAACAAATATCTTGAACCAGAACAAAAACTAATTTAAATTAAACTATTTCTCCACCATTCTCTCCATGAGGGCTAAAAATCTTTCCATCATCCTTTCTCTCCTCTCCTCCGCTTCCCTCTGCTGTCTGATGTCCTCCCTGATGACGTCAAGGAGTTCATCATCCCTGCTGCTCTTTCTTTTTCTCCCTATGTTGTCGGCTGACTCTCACCACTCTCCCTCTCATCTGTGTCCCCCACTGCTGCACTTGACCCATCCTAAATAGATGATAAAGAGAACAATAGAAGAAAGAAAACATGTCAACTGTATTAATAAAATAATGATAAACTGTACTTTTCGCAGCAGAACATAGATGGAAATACTATGCTCATATAATGTGTAATGGATTTACTCTTGTACCTCCATGCCACCGTGCTAAAAACATTAAATCAGTAATGTGGTTTCTTCAAAATTAATTTAAATAAACATTAAACTTAGTTTTCGTTATTTTTGGCGTTCATTACATGATTAAATAAGATGCAAGCTCTTTTACGGTGAGTTTTTTCCTATTAAACATTCAAGCAAGTTTACGGTGGGGTGTTAACCTTAAAACAAATGATGAGAAGCTTTATTTGCTAAATAAACACACACACACAAACGGGAATTATGACGGGACCACCATACAAGCTCGTTCTCGCTGATTTCTGCTTAAAATGTACTTTATACAAACAAAAATGTCTATAAACAGAACCGCTTTCAGCTTAGTTTTCTACCGCTATTTTCTTTAAAAAAGCCTGCTGGGATCAAGCTAGTTTACGGTGGGTTTTTCCTATTACACATTCAAGCTAGTTTTCGGTGGGGCATGTTTTAGCCTTAAATTACATGAAAAAAACAATTTGCGGTATTAGATCTTATATGAAAAACAAACCAAAAGTGCCCAAACACGTATTTTATTTTTTTGACCGCTATTTTTTTTAACAAACTTACATTTTAAGCTGTACTGCTCTCCCGCTCCGTCCGCCATTGTTGCGAGTGTCGAGTCCAGCAGCCGGCGCGCAAAGCATGCTGGGATACCCTTGCTCCTGTGAGGATCCATCAGACCCATCCTCGAAATGTGGGTGGAGCGAGGACGCGTTTGAGGACGCGAGAATGAGTATTCTTGGAATTCGGACAGTACTCGTCGCTGCGCTTTGACGTCATCGACCTCATAATGCGCTCTTACAAGCATCCTTCCTCTGGATTCGGACACACCCTCTGTCTGACAAAAATATCCCTGGACTGTCATGTCTGATGTGAGGATGCACAACAACTGCACCATTTAAACTAGAAATAAAAGTAGCCATTACACTGTTGACGAACCTCCGGGCCTTCTCAATTTTGGCAGGTTTTACACCTGCCCTCCATCTACACCTTTGGGTGATGGACGACATGATGATGGTCATATGAGGGTGGAGAAGGTGAAGCCGGTGAAGGTCCTCCTTCATCATGTTGACCAGCGTCACACTGCTGACCACCCCCATGTCATTGCCGCCGCAGTGAATGATGAGGACATGAGGAGCTGCTCTTCCATGAAGGGAGTGAAAGAAGGGGAGAAGGTCTTTCCACCTCAGTCCGCCCCAACCAAACCAGGAGACACAGACGTCAGGGAGGCCAAGGTTGTCTCCGACGGTCTCTGCAGCTCTCTGGGCACCACGCCTCACGTAGCTGTCTCCAATGATCCAAATGGCTATGGAGAAAAAATTACAGGTTTGGCCTAGCTGTTTAAAGTACAAAACCATACATGAAGTGGTCAAGACAGGTACTTGGTACTTACACTTGCTGCGTTGTGTAGCTGATGTTGGAGACACACAGGCTGCCATGGTGTCCTTTTAACAGATCAAAGAAAAAAATGTAATAAAAGAATGAAACTTAAAAACTCCCAGACCTCATGTCATATTTACTAATCAGCTATGGCTGATTTATTGTTTGGATCACAGCGAGTTACACTAATTCTAATATATTTTTATTTCTATTATACATAGATACTTTTTAACTGTTATTTTCATAAGACTGTTATCAGACTCTCTTGTTCTGGTTCTCATGATAATTCCGTGTCTTCCAGTAAGTTATCTTGTGCTTTCTTCATCTGTATAATGTCTTTTTACTTTTGGTGAATTGTACTGAGTCCAGAATAAAGGCTAGTTGGATGTACAAGATACAAACAGTTATTACGTTTTGGAAATACATGAAATGTATTTAGGCTGCTAATTTAGCTCGAATACTAATAACTGCCGTGTTTTCCGGACTATAACTCGCACTTTTTTACATAGTCTGGCCGGTCCTGCTACTTATACTCCGGAGCGACTAATTTAACAAAATATGTAGGCTACACCGCGCTGCTGCGGGCCGACTCCGACCCGCCCAAGAACGACTTCCCCTGTCCCGCTGGGAGGGTTTCAAAAACCGCCTTCCTCGACTGGAGAACGTGGCGCGCTGCTGCGAGCCGACTCCGACCCAAGAACGACTTCCCCTGTCCCACTGGGAGGGTTTCAAACACCGCCAGCATCTGCTGTAGCCAGTGGCGGGGTGCTGAGGGCCGGCTCCAGCCCAGGAATGAGCTCTCCTCGCCGGCCGGGAGGGTTTGAAACACCGCCATCCTCTCCTCTGCTGGCTGGAGACCATGGCGCGATAGCCCGGAAAATACGGTACTGAAAACTTGCTCAAAGCAAAATGTTTTCATTACGGAAATAAATTATAAACTTACCAATTTAATACTTTTTTAATCCAGGTACTTTTCACGAAAAGGCACCGAAAACCTCCACCTAAACTTCGTGTGAGGTTCAGGTCGATGGGTGTTCCACAGTTAGCTCCGGTTGGGTTGAAGCTAGGTGGCTACATCCGTTAGCTCGGCTCCCACCTCCGCGTTAGCTTTGGGTTAGCCAGGGTTAGCTTCAGGTTAGCTTGTAGCTAGTTCGCCCGGGTGTCGTCAGTCGATCCCAGCCTTACAGCCGCACCCTCAGCTCCTCCTCTCTTCCCTTTTATGGAATTGTCTGGGCTGGACGGAACCTGTGACACGGTCAAAATGGCGGTGGTGGCCACCTCCCATTATAGACAAAAAACGTGTTATTGGAGCCTATGGAATCGAATTGTCCAGTATGTACAGTCTATGGTTACAGCAGCACCAACTGTTAAGGGAATAATTTGAAGAAAATTTGTAACAAAGGTACATGTCTAGATTGTAACCTTCGACCACTAAAAACCACAAATAAAATGGGAAAAAACTTGGGTTCCAACACTATGCAGCATACTGCAAGAGACAGACATATTATGTAAATCTGATATAGAACGAGTACTGAGCACATAATGAATATTGTCAGCTAAACTGAGGAGTTGTACACTCTTACTGCAGAGGGGATGAATGACCTATGGTAGCGTTCTGTTTTACGGCGCCCCATTTTGAAACTGACAGAGAAAAAAAAACAGAAAAAGAGTTATGTTGACCTTTTTTCCTCTTTGAGCGCATGCACGGTGGCAAAACCAGACACAGTTTGGCCTGCTTTCAATATGCAAGTACACTTCTAAGTTTACATACAAAATCCCAGATATATTAACACTTTACCATTCAAAGACAGGAGGTTTAGAGAGAAACTTATTGCAGACAAAATCAAAGTTCTTAAAGCCCGTATGAGCTCTGGGATGACGGAAAATGTCGGTCTGATTTGCCTCGTCTCTTTATTCTCTCCTCTTGTCAGAATCAGAAAAACTTTATTTGGTACGGCTCCCATCTACCTGAATCCTCTTGCCAGAGGCGGTTTTACAATTAGGCATAGGTAGGCGGCCGTCTGGGGCCCCCTTGTGTTGGGGGGCCCCCTAGCCCTGACCGCCGGCACCTAATGCCACAATATTCTTATTACCAACCAGTGGCCGCGGACGGGATTGGACATGCGCATTTCTCATTACCATAATTCCTGAACCGTTCAAGATATCATTAAAATTTCTAAAGTGCTGAAAAGATTTAAAATGGGGCTTTTCGTGCATATACAATACATCACTGTAGCCACCGGGATTCCCTGTCTTGAGCGCAACGAATCACAACACAGATTCAGAGACGTGCTGAGTTTGTCATCCAAAATGCTCCGTTTTATAACTTTTGAATGGCTGATCAGATTCAAATAATTCCAACGGTTCCTAAAAGTACATAAAAGCAGCTTTCCAACGATCTGTAGCAGTGGTTCCCAAACGTATTTAGCCGTGCACCCCCTTCTATGTCCCGACCATGTCGAAGCACCCCCCAGTCCCCACATCAGGGCATGGCTATATATATATATAGATATATATATATATATATATATAGATATATATATATATATATATATATATATATACAGTATATATATATATATATATATATATATATACAGTATATATATATATATATATATATATATATATATATATATATACAGTATATATATATATATATATATATATATATATATATATATATATATATATATATATATATATATATATATATCAGACATCAAGCTAAACAGACAGGGTTAACAAAAATATGGTCGACCTTTTTCCCCATCACTTTCATTTTTTAAATAGTAATTAATAAGCATTCGATACCATTACAATTTCCTTTGATTTAGTTTTAAATAAATATTTAGAGTGCCCAGGTAGCACATAAACAATGCAGTTTAACGGTTTTCTTAAAGTAGGAACGTTTAACCTGTGCGGCCAGAGCGCTCTCCTTCCTTCTGCTCTGCGTAAACCTGAGCTGATCACCTACTTGTGCGTAATCAAATGTCTATAGGGGAAAAGATGGAGAAGCCATGAGGTTCACTTTTGCCTCAGACCGACTTATTGCTGTTTTATGGTGTGGCTGAATCACCTCTCTCTCTAGCAAACACATAAATTCAGTTTTACAGCTATTGAGCCAAAATAGTGCTGAAAGGAATTCACACACTCGAAATGTGAAGTTATGGCAAAAACAAATCTCGACTTTAATCCCATGTTCCAGTATAAGATCATGTTAGTTCAAAACTCCAACAAAGAACGCTACAGTTCCCTATGTTGGCACAGAAAGCATAAATGTCCTTCTAGTTTACTTATGCTCACCTTTTAATCTTTTAATTTTACATGTTTCAAATTTTTTTTTCTCTTCAGCATGTGTCAGTGTGTGATTTTACATTTTTAATGTTTAAACGAACATTGAAATGAACCTGTTTTTAAGTATCCACCAGAGTTCCTGACAAAAACAGACAGTTCAGACAAACGCTGCACTTTAAACAGCAGGCCTTGATATTCTTTTCCTCCTGCCTCTCTCGCTCATCGCGCCATCTGGATGCACCGATTTGGAATGTGTCTGTTTGTTGATTAAATATAATCAGACTCGTATAAGATGGGTTGTGATGAAGTCTGTGATGCCTGTTCTGCTGCTGGTGCAAAGCCAGAATCCTAAAGACTCCTGCAGGTGCGTCCAGCACTGCTTTTGAAGGGTCATGAACAGAATGATCAGATTTGTGTGAGTAGTTCATGCAAAAATAAGACATCTGCAGCAGCGCTGGATGCAATAATGTCACAGCATCTCCACCATGACTCTAGATTTTATTTTCCTAATTGTCCTAATGAGATAAGTGCACTTGCAAGTCACCGGGACCATGAAGCCTGAGCTGAGGGAGAAGAAAGAGGCTGACATGAATGGGCTCTGGTTTTTACTCAGTTACTGACGTAAGTAAACAATTTACTGAAGAAGTGCCTCCGAGTTCTGAAGGGATCTGACAACAGGAGTCAGACAATGTGTGTGGAGAGAGAGAGAGAGAGAGAGAGGGGGAGAGAGAGAGAGAGAGAGAGAGAGAGAGAGAGAGAGAGAGAGAGAGGGGGGGGGGGAGAGACAGAGAGAGAGAGAGAGAGAGAGAGGGGGAGAGAGAGAGAGAGAGAGAGAGAGGAGAGAGAGAGAGAGAGAGGGAGAGGAGAGAGAGAGAGAGAGAGAGAGAGAGAGAGAGAGAGAGAGAGAGAGGGGGAGAGAGAGAGAGAGAGAGAGAGAGAGAGAGAGAGAGAGAGAGAGAGGGGGAGAGAGAGAGAGAGAGAGAGAGAGAGAGAGAGAGAGAGATGGTGCCCAGGTCAGTGATCTCATATTACAACCTCCCCATCCCGTCTCAGAAACAGAGAGAAACCTCCACAGCGTGGTCAGCCAATCGTTCTTGCCATTCCTGTCTATAAATAGCATCTTGAGATTCCCCCATTCATTTAGCCCAAATGTTACAACAAATAGGTCTCACATCGCAGCCGTTTGCCAGAGTTGCAGCTAATTAATATCTCCCATTTTCCTAAAAATAAAAAAAAATAAAAGAATAAAAAGAAAACAATTATTTCCTTATTTTAAGGCTTCTCTATAATTAGATGTTCTGTGCCACACTTTAACACGTCCCCCACTTAGTGGAGACCTGAGTTCTGGCCTCTCCTCCTGAACTTAATTGGCTAATTAGGAGGGCAATGAGATGAGAGGCCTGCTTTTCAAACTGGAGATCAGCTTGGGATCAATGAAAGACAGATTTATGCTAAACACATAGCAACAATGGCTCTGTGGGGGCTGACAACTCTCTGTTTCCTTATGTCATTAGACTGCAGCAACAAATAGCTGATTATGGGTGTAGATGGCTGCAGAACACAACCTTTTCCAAGAGTTTCAACAAGCTGTGACTTCTATCAGATCCATACACTTCCTGGTTGAGCCTTTATAACTTTTTTTTAATTAAAACTGATAGAAATGTCAACATGTGAAATATAATTACACAATATAGCAAGGATTTATCTTACAATCTCAGCCTCAGGATGGGTGAACTAAACATCCTTGGACTTGTTTATGCAGAAAAAAAATTGTTGCACAGATTAACTAAAGATGCTGCATCTCTATTCATGTGTGAGTCAAAGCATGAGTCATTTTAAATATGTTTCAAAAGATGGAAGATGGATTCTACTTGTTACATTAAGATTTAAGAGAGGAGAAGAGGTCACAAAAGTCACAGCAGCATCTTTATCACAACGAGAGACAAGAGGCTCACCTCAACCCACTGCCCGTTGTTCTGCACCATGAGGACGACACACGGGTCTGACTTGTTCAATGTGTCTCGGTCCAGCAGAGCTTTGCACGACACTCGCAGCTCCACTTTGGTGACGCAGGTCGCCGGGCCGGTCAGGCTGGTCGCAGGAGAGGTCGCTTCCTGCACGTCATTCGTCGTGGTCCAAGGTGAGAGGAAGCTGCCGACCAGCAGAACAGTGCTGTGAGATGGTATCACTCCAGGGGGGTTAGGGTGGGGTGGGAAGATGAAGTGATCGGCTGCAGGATCCGAGTTCAGATTCAAGCGAGACAGACCCTTTTATTTTGGTGCAAATGTCACAAAAACAGAGATTCTTGTTTGAGTCAAAGGAGAAAATAATTAAATAAGCTGATGCGACTGCCTGTCAGAGCAACGCCGTTGGGGGGGAGGATTATCTCACCTCAGTGGGGACGAGGGACAAGACATAAAGGTCACAGGCTTTTAAGAGTCTGGGTCAGATTTCTGCAAAGACACGTCTATAAAGCCCAAACTGAGAGGGAATTTGGTTTAAAAAACTAATCATTATTGTTTATCAGACCTCTTAAGTATGATCTATGAAACACTCAGGTGAAGAACTTAGCAGACATTATTCTATAGGGACATTTTTACCACTAACGTGTGACAAAGACACAAGTTGTTTCAATTTATTTATATGAGTGCATGAAAACTTAAACCACAATAACACATAAAATCTTATTTTAGCATCAACGAGTTAATTTACAAAAAGCAACCAGCGGAAAAACATCACACATCTCTCAGGTCATGTTTCAGGTTTCTTGAAAACTTAACTTTCACATACAGTAGCACTAAGGGTACCCTGTGTTTTAGACCTGAGACTACTTTTGTCCTTCACTTGTCTTCTAAGTTCTTTTCTTTTTCAAAAGAAAAATCTGCACATCATGCATTCAGGAACAAGGACTGGATGGAAAATGAGTGGAAAAAAACAAGTAGAGACCAGAAATACTGGAAATGTCATAAAATGTCAGGAACAGCTGATCAAGAAGAGCTGATGAGGAATTCTTGTTCCATAAAAAATCAGGACATTAGAAGAGCCTATTTGTGGAAATCTAGACTTACTTTTCTAAATAGTTTTAAATGATTTACACTGCAAGTGTTTAAGCATATTAAGGGTTATAAATTATTTTCTGCATTATTCCTTTTAATTTTAGGTTTTGTTATATACTTTTTCTTACTTTGTCCATATTCACATCAATTTCAAGCATACACAAAAGATCAAATATATTCACTTGCACTAAAAAGGGTTAAATCTAACCATACAAGCTAAACACCTTGTTTAGGTTTAATTTGAACGTCAGCAGCCCTCCAGAAAATCAGGATGAGATCTTCTACCTGAGGTCTCAGAGTCATTTTGGTGTGAGGGACAATTCAATCATTTATCAAGGTTTCTGTATGGGTTCGGGCTGCACAAATCCATGATTATACAGGCTATGATGATATCTCACAACCTAAAAGGACACCGAGATGTTAAACGAGAGACTTTTATTTTGGTAGGCTCCTTTAATCATAGGAACTCCTTTATATTTCATTTTGATTTAGCTTTGTTTATTTAGCTTTGATTCTAAATATATTTAACAATAAATTGGAATATTTCATGAGTTATTTTATTTTTACCATCTGCGCCCCATTAAAGCCGTCCAACAGCCGCCCCGCTGAAGTGCTCATGAGCAACACGGTTAGACGCAGCTGCTTTAAACGAGAACAGAGTATGAGACGGTGGGCTAAGTGTCCCCATCTGAGTCTCCTACACGCAGAAAAGTGACTGATCCCTGGGACTGGAGCGTGTTTTTACTTTCAGCACCTTGGACAGAGTCCGCGGTTCAGACGGCAGAACCGGTTCTGCTCAGAACTTCATCCCCAAACGGACCCGGCGTCACGGTGGACGAAGCAAAACTTAAAAGCGCCAATGAACAACATGAAGGCGATAACAACTCAGCGGAGAAGAAAAGCATCTGAGCGGGTGGTTAATTATTCATCACTCAGGGATTATTTTCTCTAAAAAATAAAAAATAAAAAAATAAGCTCGCGAACAAGAATGAAACACTCTTCCTACCTGCTTGGTGCTTCTAGCTCCTGGAAACTCTTGTTTAATCCGCTCCCACTGAACACTGGTTGATTTTGGTCTGCAATTTCTCCACTGAGTCTCATTGGTTCCGCTGGTGAGGAGGGAGTGGGCTCGGCTGGGAGGAGACGGGCGGTAGAGGGCGGATGTGAGGGTGGGCTGTTACAGGAGGAGGGGAAACAACATCTGATAGCCCACAAAAGCTCCACACAGATGCTGAAATCCATAAAACACGTGATATCTTCTTTGTTCATCTCAATTTTTCTTAAAAATTGGATAAGACTAAAAGTGAGCAGGTGCTATACTTTGTCTGTGGATTTGTGCACTTTCTATCCCTCATCCCTCTAATTTTGACTTATTTTTCCAAACTTCAGGACAGGCACTTCCATAAACCTTTGCTTATGGGTGTGAAGAAAGTTGGGAAAATTACTAAGAGGAAGTTAACTCTTGCTGTGATTTAATTAAAATGGCAACATTCAAACTTCTAATTTGCAAGTTTATTGTGATTTTCATTATCATTTGGGATGTTCAATATCGGCTTTTTTACCTATAGAATAGAATTTATTGATTACACAATGGGTAAATTCACTTGTTAAGGCAGCACATACTTACAGAGTTAGGAAATATTAATAATAATAATAATAATAACAATAATAATATTATTATTATTAATAATAATAATACAGGTAAATACACAGGGAATGAGGCTATTACCGTAACCTTCAGCAGTCAAAAAATGAATAAAATAAAGTAAAAGCAGGAAATAGAAAATACTTTCCATAAAGAACAGCATTAAGACACAGATATAAAAATGTGTATTTGGGTATTGCACAGGTATTGAATATAGCTTTGATGTTAGCATGTGACAGGATAGTGGAGTGACACAGTTTTACTGCAGTGGGAATGAATGACCTACGGTCGCATTCGGTTTTGCATCTTGGATGTCTCACCGATGTGCTCCAACTCTTAATTTCTGATAGTAACACAAACCAATGCCAGTATAAAGAAAATAAATATTTTAGGTAACTACCATCCCATATCTCCCACCATGCTTAAACTTTAAACATTTTCTGTGTAAAACACCCAGAGGAGTCAGAAGTCTTAACATTCCTTTTTCAGGCAGGAACTATAGACAGGATTTTAACTGCATCATCTCAAATGTTTTACTGGAGTAAAAACTACTTAAAGTATCAAAGTAAAATCTAAGTTTGTAGGTTTATACCACCACAGCACTACCACACCTCACCAAACAAATACTTTTACTAGAGGTAATGATGTGAATGTTAACAACTTTGAGATACTCTAAGCTACCTGCTTCAGTTGCACATACCTACGCCCATTGAAAATAATGCATTTAGTGCAAAGAAATTACATTTAAAAAACCACATGTGGATGGTGCAATTCAATAAGAGGAGACATTTTTAAAATATAAGGAGTGGAAAGTGTAGATAATTACCTGAAAAGTAAAGTTGGATCATTACAAAATTGAAGTATAAATACTCCAAATTTCAACTTAAAGCGACAACGTGTAGATTTCTTTTACCATTGATCTCTGGAAATATCATTCGAAATATTGTTGAAATTTAACTAAATGATACCCCGGAGTTGAAAACTATTAGCGGCTTTGTTATATATAACCATACCAGGTCTAAAATACATGGGGGTCTAAATCTCTGGGCAACGCCATATTAGATGCAGTTTCCTTCTACGTGAGCCTGTGAGGACAAAAGGCATTTACTGATTTGTAACAAGCAATTACAAAACTTTCACCATGCATAAATGTTGTTTTATACAGTTACCTCTTAGCTCCTTCGCCAGGGATGAAAGGGAGTCTGATGTGCTTGTCTTTTTGCTAGAGGTTGAACGATCTGACAAAGAACTCGATAAAAATTGAGCTTCCAGGGATTTTTGACCCTAATGGCCACCCGTTGGTAAGATCTTACTCAGACACAAAATCACAGCTTGTTTGCAATGATTTAGGTATGTACTGCCCCTATCACCAGGAAAAATGCACACTGTCACTTTAAGTAAAGTAATAAAGTATTTGTACTTTGTAACTTGACTCCTTTGATTCAAACAGAACTCTTGGTCAAGGACTGGAAACAAGCAATCAGAAAACATTTTGAGAAATTACTGTTACAAAGTTTGCTGCACCAGTTTTTACATGATGTCAGTTTGTATAAACTCTAATGTTATTTAGTGTAATCTGATTAATGTATGTATGCACACCATAGTAGATCTTGTTGGAAACGTATTTCTGGATTTTTTTTGTTGCCAACATTTAAGAACAGCAGCAGTTGAAAACCACAAGCTGTCATCCAAAAGGTGATTTTATGCTCATTTTGAATCAAAGCTGAGTGATTTAAACAAGAGGAGAATGTGTGAGGGCGTGTCGAAGCCAATCCAGAGCTACACTGTTAGACTTTGCTGGCATTTGCTAGTATATTACTGTAAAATCAACAGTAAAATACCTCTAAAAGTGTTTGCAGTGTAGTACTGTAATTTCCATGCACTGTTAGACTGTGCTGTCATTCCTATAGTATATTACTGTAAAATCAACAGTAAAATACCTCTAAAAGTGTTTGCAGTGTAGTACTGTAATTTCCATGCACTGTTAGACTGTGCTGTCATTCCTATAGTATATTACTGTAAAATCAACAGTAAAATACAGCTAAAATCTTAGCAGTGAGGTACTGTGTTTGGCATGTTATGGTAAGTAAATTCAACAACATCACATATTTTTCATGGTATGTCACTGTTTTAAAGGAAACAGGTAAAGTACAGCAAATATAAAAATTTGGTATACCTCTGACATTTTTCTGTCTGTGGTTTTTCAGTGGACATTTTAAAATACCTTGCTCAAATTCAGAGTGCATTACCAAAACAATTCTTTGTGAGATCACCAATAAAAAAAACACTATGCCCCATAGTAAAGAGAAAATGCTCCAAGAATAAATGTTTTAATTGAGCTATTATAAAAGCATACAGTATGTAAACACTCACTAAAATCTGTTTAAAAATGTTTTAATTATAATATAAAAAAAGGATTGGATGGTTTAACCAAGCCTACATTGTAAATAAAAAAATCATCTCAGATTGATAAAATCATATTTAAGCTAATCTATTAGTCCTACTGCCTAAATGACAGTAATTGACATCTGCCTGGTGGGCGATTTAAACTGATAAATGTTTACAGAATTTTATCAAAAAACTGACATGATACCAGTTTATGACTTTATAATTGTAAGAAATTTAATGTAAAATATTCCATAAAATATTGATCATTTCAAAATTCCATCAGTTGTTTTTTTTTTGCATGTTTTCCCAGCAAGATAGGATAATTACAGCCACCAAAATTATGCTGTTGTCTATCTATTGTGTTCACTATAGATGTAACAAAAAATTCAGACAGCTATAGATGGAATCTTAAGGAAATGGGCCAAGGAAGAACTCATCAAAGGTATTTTCCACCCCTAGCTATGTTTTATGTTGTTGGGTTTCCCAGAATTAGATAAGTGAAAAATAATTCATCACTTTCACCTGATACAACCTGGATATTTGCTTTCAAAACAACAACATTGGAACGACAATATATGATCGTTGTCTTGTACTTTTAGGAAAAGAAGAAATAAAAACATTTTCCAAACACGTATCCCGAATGTGACCCATTACAGGGGAGTTGGTCAGTCTGGTAAGTATTTTACTGCATGTTTTGGCTTTTAAACTAGCTATAGCTGTGATCTTCATGCAAATTCTGCAAAATGGTCCCTGTCCATAAATGTGTAAACACCTTATTGAAGTTACCCGAATGTTTTAAAAACTGACAAACAAGGTGATTAATTTTCAGCTGCTACCCATGCAAAGTAATGTGATGCTTAAAACCAAATTTGTTAGGATCTACAAACAATGCATAATCTATTTTTCAATTGTCAGCATGTGATTGTATTTTGGACTGATAGCCAAAGCTAGATTTTACTTAAAATATCTGATGTTTTCTTTTTGTAAATATTCTATGTAAATAATTTATTTATTCATGTAATTGGAAAAACAGTTCTCTGTTTATCATATCACCCTGAAGAAATAGGGTGGAGTCAAACACTGATTCCATCATGGGAGAAGAAGTGGAGGTGGTTGAGGAATACAAATACCTTGGAGTTCACCTGGACAACAGACTGGACTGGAGAAAGAACATCGAAGCCGTTTACAAGAAGGGGCACAGCAAACTGCACTTCTTGAGGACGCTTAGGTCCTTCAATGTCTGTAGCAAGATGCTGCAGATCTTCTACAAGTCTGTTGTTGAGAGTGTAATCTCTTCAGCCATCGTCTGTTGGGGTAGCAGCATCAGAAGCAGGGACCTGAAAAGGCTCAACAGCCTAATAAAAAAGGCTGGTTCTGTTCTGGGGACGACTGTGGAACCACTGGAGGAGATCATGCAAAGAAGGATTCTCCAGAGAATCAAGAAAATGATGGACAACCCTGAGCATTCTCTTCACAAGACTGTCCGACAACGGAAGAGTGTCTTCAGTCAGAGGCTTCTTCAGTTTGGCTGCAACACTGACCGCTACTGGAGATCCTTCCTGCCAACAGCCATTGTAATATACAACAACTCTTTGATGACTTGATTATTATTATTATTCTGAGCTACTACAGCAATCAGTTTCCCTCTGGGATTAATAAAGTATTTTTGAATTGAATTGAATTGAATTGAATTGAATTGAATAACTTTTCCCTATATTTTTAGTCACTCAAGCACATCTCAGATATGAATAAGAAACCTGCTTGTGCCAAAATGTTTCTGCTACTTATTGTTTTGCTCCTGATCATTTTTTCTTTTTCTTTTTTTCTTTTCAAAGGTAAATGGATTTGCTTCACATTTTCTGTAATGGAGACTGCTATCAAAGTCAGTTTGTTTCCTTGACTTCTCTTGTGTATGACATTTGTTTTCAATAAAGTTAGGAGCAACAAAAAAAAAACAAAGGCTAATTTGGCAGTAAGTGTTTGCAGGTGAAGGCTGCTGGCAGTGCATGCTGTGATATGCAGAACAGGCTGGAGAGGTTTAACTCTGATATTGAGGTCAAATAATTTTCCTTTTTGTGGCCAATGTGAAAGCTATACTACTTTCCATTTTTTGAGGGGATGTTACATTTTAGGCATATTTGAGCCTTTTATGACTATTTAGCCTACTGTTAAGGTACTGTTTAGTTTTCTATGCATTTTTGTTGTATTGCTTAAAATATCCCTGGAAAAGAAACTATTGAAGATACAGGGTACTTCAAATGTTTCTCTGTAAATATTGTGGATTCCGTGCACACAAATCTATATTGTCCAGTTCCCACGTTAGAAGCCATAAACACAATGCAAACTATATGTTTTCTTGTGGAATTGAGAATTGTAAAGCCACTTTTAAAACATTCACTGCCTTTCGTTCCCATATGCACAGAAATCATAGACGAGGGGAGAACACTGAGGAGGAGATCTGAACTGGAAGTTCACTGGAAATCTTAGCTGACAAGTTCCTGGATGTGGGTATGTTGGACAAAATACTAAAACTCTTTGTGTCAATCTGAGGATCCATATTAAAGATGGAAAAAAGTATTATGCCCATTTAAAGGTTGCTCTAAATATTTCAGTGTTCAAACATCATTCTCTAGTCATATTTCTCAGAAACACATGCAGTCAAAGACTGGTCAACAAGAAATTGGTGACATTAACATGGTACAAGGACAAGACACAAGGACAGAACAGGACACCTTAGAAGACAGACATTTACAGAATGCTACAAATAATGAAGAGCCATTTCTAAATCAATTGGCACTGTTTTATTTAAAAATGCAAGCTAAAATGCTTTTGCCAGCCAGCACTATACAGTGCATCATAGAGGAATGCCAAGATCTTCACAGCTCTGGAGTGCACAATGTTCTTGGAAAACTGTTTGATAAACTTTCTGCATTTGATATACCTGACGCATCTATAAACAATATTATTCAGGAACTTTCACAAAATGACTTCCTATCACATTATCCAGAGCTTATACTTCACTTTGGGCCACTTATTCATTTATGGACTCTTAGGTTTGAGAGCAAGCACTCTTATTTCAAACAATGTTCAAGAAAAGTACATAACTTTGTCAATTTATGCAAGACTCTGGCTGAACAGCATCAGCTACTGCAGTCCTACCTCTTGGCAGGGCAAATGTTTCCACCTACAATTCAAATCATTGGAGAAGCGAATGATTATAGACATCATCTTTACAACTCTGCCACTCAGGATGCTGTGACAAAAGCAGACATCTCTAATCATAACATGCTATATGTGTCAGCAGTTGTCTACAAAGGTACCAAATATGTCAAAGGTCATGTTGTTGTAGTAGATCACACTGATGAGAGCACTGAGTTTGGGAAGATAGTTGTGATACTTGTTAATGATTCTAAATGGTACTTTGTGCTAGAATTGCATCAGTCAGTACGCATTATTGACCTTGGACTTCATTGTCTACACTGCCCTACAGACAGAAGTTTGTGTGTAAATGCTGACAGTCTGATGGATTATTACCCAATACCCCTTTATAACATGGCAGATCTTTTTGTTGTCTCCCTACACCGTTCAGTTTCTTCATGATTTTTTCCCCTTATATTTCAGTGATGGAAATTGAAGATGAAATCACATGCATCCTGCCGGAATTGGAGAGACAGAAAGTACTGTCCTTTGCAGGCCACCTGAAAGATGTCATTGGTGTCCAACAAAAAAGTGACCTTCTGTTAGTAGAGGCAGATGATCGCAAACATTTTCTTACACCAATTCAAATACGTAAAGTACTACTTGCATTTAAGAAAGGTTTGTGTACATTTTGTATACATCTGACTATTTATCAGCTGTAGGTCACACAGGTCACTGATTCATTTCTTTTTTACATTATGACCATCAGTTGCCAATTTCTTCTCACTATACCATTCTGGATGTTTAACTACAAAGCATTTTATTGATGAGACTTTTACCGGCTATTGGTATGTTTTTCTGTTTTAATGGAAGAAATCAAATAAAAAAAGATAATCCAGTGCATTTTGTTTACATCTTGATCTTAAATATATCCAACTATTACACAAACAAGTGTGCAGGTGTGTGTGTGTGCGCGCACAAGTATAAACCTTTTATTTTGGGCGCCTTTATTTTATTACAGTATGTTACCGTTTACTCGTATTTTAGTAAAATATGACATGAAAAAGTTAAATTACTGCCCACAAAAACACAGTACCCTCTGACAGCGTTGACTATTTTCAGTAGCAAAAGTGTATGTTTACAGTAAATCACTGGAAAAGGTATTGCAGCATACCTTGAAATGAGCTTATGGTAACATACCATAAACATACAGCACAACACATATTTATTAATCACGGTATAATGTTGCGCTATTGATGTAATTTTCTTGTGATATATATTACGGTATTTTACTGGCAACACTGTTGCCGGTGAGATACTGGCAACAGTGTTGCCAGTATCTCACCGGCATGCAGTCCGAGGGTTTTTTACAGCAATAAAATATACGGTATAATTCTGGGATCAACACTAAGTGGTAAGTTACCGTTAACCATGCATCACGGTATCATGCTGGCAACAGTGTTGCCAGTTTATTACCGTAAAGTGGATAGGTAAAGTCTAACAGTGTAAAACTGACAACATCACCTTCATTTGGGAGCTTAAAGATATTCAGAAATCTCTTATCTTTGTTAAACACGCGTTTGTATGCGCTGACAGTAAAACTGATCTTGAATCAAACAAAAGATTTTAAATCTCTTTATTTCTACTGTGTATGTTACATAATGCATTGTTCCTACGATGTTTGGACTTGAACCTTTTTTTCAGTCCACCCACCAACGTATTATTGTCATGAATGCATTTCTAGACATTGCATAACATCAATAGACTGACTGGCTAAACAGAGTTTAAAATGAAGGCCTGATAAAGGTACCAAACTTTATTTATTAAATGCTCTAAAACAGACTTGATGACTTTTAGCTTTACAGATGGTTTTAAGATCGTATTAACACAACTTGTCCTTTAGAAAGAACAAAAAAAACATCTTGTTAAACTTTGTTTTCAAACAGCAGAGTCTGTAGGAGACTTTGAAAGCAGGAAGGAAGGTCGGTCTAATCATTCCACCGGCGTGAAAAATAAAACACCTCACCTCTCTGCTTCTTGATCATCTGATCACTAAACAACACATAAAGCTGCTCACGGATTGATGGTATTCTTTAAATAAATCAGTGTTTGAACCTCACTGCCTCTTCTTGCATAGAGATTGGTCAGAAACGTCTGCTCTGGGGGACACACCTGAGCCCTGTTACGCCACCGCTCCAAATAACGACCATCTGCTGCTGCTGCTGTGTCACTTCAGCACCTCTCAGGACATTTCCACGAGTTTACACATGGATTATCTATTCATGCCCCCCACCCCCACCCCACACAGCGTGGCGCTGCTGCTGACCACACTGCAGGATCTCTGATCACCCCCACTTCTCCTCTCAGCCCGAGCTTTCTTCTAACATTATTGACACTTTTCTACCAACAGCTCCCCTGGGCAGAGATATTTTTGGACATGGATTTTTGGAGTTTACTTCAGCAGACCCAGTTTCCTTCAGGAGTTTTGTGACTGAATGACCTGGAAACATTCTTTCTATTCACATATAAAAAACTTTACATCACTACAATAAAAAATGACTCCAGATATGGTTGGAACTAACAAAGCAAAACAGGATTCTGTCATAAATATGAAGCGTATTCTGGCAATAATCTACCAGACACCTGAAGTTAGATTAAATAAACAGATGGTTATTTAGAAATGGCTTCCAGAACTAAACTCATCTGCTGTCAGTCTTTCCTGATAGACACTAAACTTCTTCTTAGCTTCTGAATTAAATTTAACAGCTGATGATCAAATGTTGGTGAAGAGATCTAGATGAATGAAGGAGCTGCTTAGGTGATTTAAAACACATTTAGTCAACATAGAAACATTTATCAAAATCCTGTTAAATTAGATACTGGAATTAATGATGGATCTTCAGGACCAGATCATCCATCCATTAACTCTGGTCCACATCAACCAAACTGTCCATTTAACATCATTTAGTGAATTATTAATGTTCAGGCTGCTCTGGGTCAGGGACACTTGTTTTTACACACACATACACACACACACACACACACACACACACACACACACACACACACACACACACACACACACACACACACACACACACACACACACACACACACACACACACACACACACGGACTGGAAGCCCCAAGGTCAAAGTGGGTAACACCACCTAAGGTGGTTGAGAACTACAGAGCCAAGCTCCTGTGGCACTTTAGATCCAAACTGACACAATGGTGATGGGGAGCCAACTGATGGACAAACAACAGAAGACAGCCATTGTGGTTGATGTGGCAATAACAAGTAATGGCAACATCAGGAAAATGGAACATGAGCAACTAGAGAAGTACCAAGGCCTCAAAGCAGAACTTGAGAAAGCCTGGAGAGTGAAGACATCAGTGGTGACCGTGGTCATCGGGGCAGGAACCCCCAAACTGGAGGACTGGCAGAGCCCTCAAGCTCCCAGGCCTCTGGTAGAAGACCCAAGCTTGGAAGGATGAGACCGCCTGCGGGGGGTGAGATGGGAACTTTTACACATAAATGTTTTGCCAAAATGTCTCAACTTGATTCTCTTTTCAGTTCATCACAGCTCAATAAAATATCACACTGAATGAACATCTTGTTTTAAAAGACCTGTAGAACCAAATAATTCACAATATTTTTGGTTACTGTCTGCCAGCACATAATTTTTCATCTCATTAAAAATGTATTCCTCCTTACTGAGAAAAGCCTACAGGGAGGAATCTTCCTTCTATCCACCTTTTGACCTTACAGGTGTCAGTCAAAATACTGAAATTCACAAATCCTTATTAGTGTAGTCTGAACTTCAATGTTTAAACATTTCAAATGCTATAATTGGTTTACTCTTGTCCAAGTAGTTAAATTATATATTACAAATATCAAGCCTAAATTTATCCAATTAAAATTAGATCATTAAAACTGAACTTGCAGCCCCTCAGTCTCATTTAGACACGAAACTGTGACTCTTCTGCCCCCTACAGGTGGACAAAATATTTACACACCCACTCAAACCTGATGGTTCTGCTCAGATTGATGCAGTGCCTTTAAATCGGGGTGTTTTCTATTCATTTCAAACTAAATCACAAAACAGACATGCAACCTCATTTCAGTGTTGCTGTATACAGTGTGCAATTTGTAAAAAAAAAAAAAAAAAAAAAAAGCAATGGGGGTCATTTTTTACCTTTTTATTCATGAAAATTATAACACTTGTATGCTGATTGCAGGGTGTTTTGTACATAGGTGTCCCCTTATGAAACTGATGGAGAAAAAACAAACAAAAAAGTTATGTTGTCATCTTTTTTCATCTTTGTGCGCATGCACGGTGGCAAAAACAGACACTATATGGCCTGCTATCAGTATGCGAGTACACTTCTAAGAAAGTTTACATACAAACACCCAGATCAGTTTACCATCCAAGGAGGTTTAGAGAGAAGTTATTAAAGCCTGTAAAAGCTCTGGAATGACAGAAAACGTCGGTCCGATATGTATATATATATATATATATATATATATATATATATATATATATATATATATATATATATATATATATATATATATATATATATATATACATATAAAGCCTTTGAGCTAGGCATAAAAATATCCATCCATCCATCTTCTGAACCCGCTTGTCCACGCAGGGTCAAAGGGGGGCTGGTGCCTATCTCCAGCGGTCAACGGGCAATCAGGCGGGGTACACCCTGGTCAGGCTGCCAGTCCATCCCAGGGCAACACAGAGACACACAGGACAAACAATCACACGCACACACACACCTAAGGACAATTTAGACAGACCAATCAACCTAACAGTCATGTTTTTGGACTGTAGGAGGAAGCTGGAGTACCCGGAGAGAACCCACGCATGCACAGGGAGAACATGCAAACTCCATGCAGAAAGATCCCAGGCCGGGAAGCAAACCCAGGACCATCTTGCTGCAAGGCAACATTTCTATATATATACATATATAGACATATATATATATATATATATATATATATATATATATATATATATATATATATATATATATATATATATATATAAGGGAAATTAAAAAAAACTGTCAGTTAATGTATTCACAAAATGTACCAAATTGAGTGTACTAAATAATTATGAAAAGGTAAATTAAATTAATGATCATGATCGCACTGGAATTTAGAACAAGAAAACGTTTAAAATTAATCTGTATGTGTGTCTGACAAATTGTATTCAAATTGTATATAAATTGATTATTTCTTCTGGAAAAGGGGGCAGAAATTATAAGATGTTTTTCTTCATTCTGCTCCTTTTCGTTCAAATTTGATTTGTTTTTATGTATTTCTTATTGTTTATAGGTTTTATTTGTTTTTATTTTGAATGAAATAAAAAAGAGAAGAAAAAAAATATATATATATACCCCTCCTCTATACAGTGTACATTTTCAGTGACTTTATCCCTTCCTTGTACAGACTTTGTCCATAACAATACCATCAAAGCAGTATTGCATTACTGGAATTCACAAAACAAACAAACCTATCTTCACCTGTGTCACCCATATTCTAACCTTGTACATGCCTAGCTCAAAGGCTATTAGATTTTTCCTCATGTCATCCGTTGTAGGGATAATGCCTCCCTTTCCTCATTATACCTGGTCATCACATCGCTTTTATTTAGGTTTTTAAATTGCTTAAAGTTTACTGCATTTTTAATTTCCTCTGCCAAGTTATTCCACAGTTTCACTCCCCTCCCTGAGAGACACATTCATTTGAATGTGCTATAGGCTATAGGCTGATACAGTTTTTTGCTCCCTCGTAAGTTGTAGTTATGAGAATCTTTATCTTGAAATAAGTTTAGAACATGGCGGGGCAAAAGATGCAAAAGATGCTTTATACATAGTTTGGTTAATTTAAAATTGACTAAATCGTGGATCTTCAAGAGGGACTGCACACTATCAGAAAATGTAACTCCAACCCAGTCAAGATTTGAAATATGGTATGATTGTGGGAGTTGCCAGGAGGCACGGAGTGTCATGGCCAAGTGCCGGGAATTTCCATCTTGGGAGGGAGGGGGAGTGGGAGGACACGGTACTGATGACGTGACATTGCACCAGCCCCAGTCAATTGCAAATTTTAAATGCAGTAGCCACAGTTCAACCCACAGGGGGCAGCACTAAGACGTTTTTAGACCTAGATTCTAGATTTAATCAAGTTTACACAAATGTGTCAAAAAATGCACAGAAACAGAAAGATTGCATTTGTAAAGACCCAGTTTATAAGTAAAAAGAACAGTTTATTTTTGGGTTTAGTTACTCTTTAAGGTTAAATTATTTAAAAACAGTAAGTTGAGCACTATATTTAGTTGAATAAATTCTAATAGCCAAGTTTGCAAAGTAATTAACAGAATCAAAATGGTTTTATAAAGCTTTTGGTTTGGTGTGTCCTAAGTGCCTAAATACTCCCAACATCACAAAAAAAGTCAAACCCCGCTGTCTTCCTCTCACCTTTAGAGGAGAGAGTCATTAAACGTCTCCTCAGGTTTTATTATATTTGTTATTTCATTTCTCCTTCTACCTGTCGGAGTAAAGCCCTTTGGTGATCCTCTCGGGATGCATTGTCTTGGCTCTGCATTGGCGTCCTTCACTCCAGGAAATGCCGGCACTAGTTCCATGTCCCTCCAGCCGAGCGTCTTCAGAGCGTCTGCGCTCACCTTCAACAGGGACGGGGTTGCAAGATACCTCAAGGTAGTCCTGAACAGGCATATTTCACTCATCAGCACTTAGAACAGACTTTAAACAGCTGAGGTAGACAAAAACATGGATGGTCATCCCTCTGGTAGGTGTGGCTGCTGGAGAGGACCACAGTCCTGGAGAAGCCGCTGGATTTGATCCAGGAAACGAACATCTGACGGAACTTCTTAGACTTTATCTGCAGTGAAAACAAAGTTTATAGGATATTAATTCAGCTGATGTTATAAAAACTTACTGAAAAAAGAAAAAAATAAACAATTCACCTGAATAATCGGCACTTTGACTTGAAGAACTGCCAACATCTGTTCTGCTGCTGTGAAAACTAAACAAAACATTTTTCATTTTTAACAGGAAGTAATGAAGTGTTCGCCCTGCAGAGTTCTAGATCCAATAAAGGACAGTAATGAGACGATACCCTCTGCAGGACAGTGCAGCGCCTCGGCATCCTCCTGAGCTGCTGTACGGGTCGTTCCCGGCCATCGGGATCAGACAGTCTGTGTTTAAGTAACCCACTCTGCTCAGGTTGAGAGTGGAAACGACGAGGTCGACAGCCAGCTGACCCACGTTACACACAGCTACCGCAGGCTAGGAAGAGAAACAAAAAAGTGAATCAGCATTTTTATCTCCAGCTTCTCAAAAGTCAAGATAAGCTGCTTGTGTTCTCTCAGAGCGGAAATGAAAGAAAGAAAACAATCTCTTATATAGTGCCTCTAAAGAATGAAAAATCACGTTCACATAAACAACAAAAAATAGATTCAAGTACAAAAAAGCTTTAAAAAAATAAAAAGATCAAAAATATGTTCGAAATGAGAAAAAAATTGTGATTGTGATTAAAAAACATAAAATAATAATGTAAGGAAAGGAAGAGAGAAAATGAATAGGAAAGAGGGAATCAGTGAATAGTGGAATAAGAGCGGAATAAGGAGAGGGTGGTGACAAAGGTCACGCCAAAGCCAGCTTGAACAGGTGAGTTTTCAGCTGCTTATTAAAGGAGTCCACTGAGTCCACTGATCTCAGGCTCAGGGGAGAGAGTTCCAGAGTCTGGGGGTCACAGCAGCAAATGATCTGTCACCTTTGGTCTTTAGCCTGGTGCTGCACAACCAGTAGGCTTTGGTCACTGGACCTCAGGGACCTACTGGGGGTGTACGGACTGAGAAGATCACCAGCGTATGATAGTGTTTGTCCATGTAAGGCCCTAAAGACCAGAACCGGGATCTTGAAATGAACGCTGAAGTTAACCAGCAGCCAGTGAAGCTGGAGGAGAAGCGGGGTGATGTGGGTGTGTTTGGAGGACTTGGTCAGAAGCCGAGCACAGGCATTCTGAACCACCTGTAGACAGTTCCAGGAGGTTCTGCTCAGACACGTGAAAAGAGAGTTACAGTAGTCTAAGCATGAGGAGATGAAGGTGTGGATAACTGTCTCAAGTTCAGAGCGGGACAGAATGGGACTCAGCTTAGCAATGTTCCTGAGATGGAAAAAGGAAGAGCGAACGAGAGAACTGACATGAGAATCCAGGGTGAGAGCTGGGTCAAAGGTCACGCCAAGATTCCTGACAGAGGTTTGGCGTGGGAAGCAAGCTGACCAAGAGAGTCTCTGACTTTGGGAACCAGCTTGTCTGGGGCACAGATGAGGATCTCAGTCTGATCTTCATTCAGCTGAAGAAAGCTCCCAGCCATACAGGTTTTGATAGAGTCTAAGCAGGTGTGTAACAGCTGCAGCTTAGACATCTCATTCAGCTTGAAAGAGTTGTACAGTTGGATCATCTGCATAAAGATGGTAGATTCCTTTAAAGGGGCTGGTACCCACGTACAACAAAGTACACATTTAGAGTACATTACTTTTACCTCATCTCAATGTTTTTATAGACTTTTCTTTCAGATCTGATCAAAAAGTTATAAAATAATGTCACACATTGGCCAACAGTAACAAATACAGCTCTTTATAACTGCATTTGTTTTGATCTGTCTGGGCAAAATAATAACTATAAATGAATCCTTTAATACTAATAATAAATACTCAAATGCATGATCTACTACTTAAAGTGATGATGTGCTTTTTAACAAACCAAGGGAAACAATTCATATTTTATACACTTTAAACGCATCGCTTATGCAATTAATAGTTACAATTCAATTCCCCTTTTTAAAATGTGCTTTTTTATTTTATTTTTAAGAAATCAGTTACAAGAAAATTACTGAAAAGAAGCTTTAAAGAAGAAAAGTACAATAAATCAGATGCAACTCCTACCTAAAAAACACATTAGCAAACATTTTCATTAGCATTATTTTACCAATACTCTTATTAATTCCAGTTGTGACACTAAATTTCTATAAAAACAACTCTGATTAGCAATAAAAATGGTGACTATAAGACAAAAGTACCAATAAAATCATAATAAAACAAATGATTATAAGTAAATGACAGGATTAACTATCCAGTCACGCTCACCATGACGAGGGTGAAACGTTTGAAGGCGACCAGTAAGTTTTGTGAAGAGACGAACATTCTGCTATTAAGTAGGAAATCACTTTAAATTTAAAAAAAAAAATGAAAAAATATAGCTAAATAGAATAAAATCCGACAGCTTTCCCAAGTTTCATGCTTTCTGAACCTTGTTTAGATTGCGGACCTTAACAATTTTAAATTGCTTAATGGTGCCTGACAAAAAAAAGAAAAACAAGGCTTAAGTTAAAACAATAAACATGGTAAAGTTGATTGTATGTTCCTACTCTTATTACTGTATATATAATGCGATGGTAATGAACATTAAGGTATATTCATAATTTTATATGTGCTTTGCATTTTATTCAGGCAAATCAGCGGACCGCGTCTCCAAGGAAACAGCTCTTTAAAGTTAAAAAAAAAGCATCGCAAAGCCTGTGGCGTAGTAGTCGGTCTGCGCATGCGCATTTCCCCTAAATTGCACTGATAGTCGCGCACACCCGCACGCAACGCAAACGTGACGCAGCAACGTTTGGAGCATCATCACGTGGTATCGAACCCAGTGACGTTCTTTGTGACATCATAGCTGATCATAGCATTAGGAGTCAGTTCAGCTTAGCATTGCAGGCAAGAACATCTCAGAAGATTGCTCATCTCAGAGTTTAACAAGAGCTTTGAAAATGTCGACAGATTTTAAGATTACAGAAGGAGCAGCAATTATAAGTGAGTCTACAGTTTACCAAGTTTTGGAAATCTCAAATGTGGATGCTAACTGTGCAGTTTTAGCACGTTGCAGAGTGGAAGAAACGGGCAATATCTTTGATTTGAAATGCATTCCTACGAAACATCTTTTGAATTACAAACATGAAGCAAAGGTACTTCATTATCTCAAAGATCGGTATCCAGGGGAAAGTAACTTTGTCAAGATCATTGAAACATTTGGTTTCCAAGATTGGTTTTGCTTTGTCTTTGAAAAGTTAGACATGAGATTGTCTGATTTTGTGAAAAGCAGAGCTAATAAACGCTTTAGCATGAAAGAAATCAAAGTGTTCGCACGGCAAATGCTTACAGCCTTAACTGATCTAGAGAATGTTGGCATCACTCATATGAATATAAAACCAGAGAACATTATTGTAGTCAACGATGAATCACAAACGTTTAGAGTGAAGCTGACTGGATTTGATGGGGCTGGAAAAACATCAATGCTTTCACAAATGACCATACCAAAGAATTGTGGATATAGTGCGCCGGAAGTGTTATTACAGTGTCAACTGGATGAAAAAGTGGCCATTTGGAGTGTAGGAATGACACTGGCTTTCATTTTTCTTGGCCATCCACTTTATCCAACGTGCTGTGATTATGAGTACATGAGAAAGATTGTGGAGGTTAACGGTTTGCCTCACAGAAAGTACCTTGATCAGGGCGAATGTACCGATCATTTTTTTACACCAGATTCAGATTGGAGTCTTCAAACTCCAGAGGAATATTTACAGAAGTCAGGGAGACAAGTTTGTTGTGGCAACTCATTTTATGAGGACTTCAAATCTCTTAGTTGCTTAATTTTTGAAGTGGACATAGAAGATTATAATTTTGAGGAAGTCATAGCTTTTATCGAGTTGCTTAAGCAAATGCTACTTGTGAATCCAGAAGACAGAATATCCCCAGCTGAGGCTCTGAACCACAGTTTTGTCAGAGAGGACTTTTCAACCAGCAGCCGTGAAACTTCAGGTCGTGACCTGGGCACACCAGGCAATGTTTCAGACGAAGAAAATAATTACACAGAGGAAGATTTAATTATACATAAAGGGGTTACTTTTGGATTGGAAAGTGAATATTACCTTGAAGAATTTCTAGAAACGGGGTTTGTTGGAACAGTTGCAAAGTGCAAAAAAGTTGAAACGGAAGAGGATTTGGCAGTAAAAATATTTAACAAAGCAGTGAGAGAGTATGGTGAGCGGGAAGTGGAGATATTAAAGGCTATCAGTAGTCTTGACCCAGATAAAAATCACATAATCAGATTTATTGATAGTTTCACCGACAGGGGTGTCCTTTTTATTGTTCAAGAGCTGTTGGATGAAGATTTCATTAACTTTCTAATACAGCGAGACTGTAAACCTCTGACTCTGGCTGAAATTAGACCCATCGCTGAACAGATGTTTGTAACCCTGAAAGCTCTGAAGAGTATTGGCATTACCCACTCAGACATAAAACCAGATAATTTAATGCTGGTTAATCATGATTCACAACCATTTAAGGTGAAGCTAATAGATTTTGGTTTTGCATATAGGACAGGTGGTTCACCTGAGACCTCATTATTCCAGAATGAGATGTACAGGGCACCGGAGGTTTATTTCGGTCTTCCACGCGATGAAGGAATAGACATGTGGTCCGTTGGGTGTATGATGGTATTCTTATTTAAAAGTCAGCACCTGTTTTCACCATGTGAATATGAAAATGTCAAGAGGATTATAAAGCTCTGCGGTCTGCCTGAGAAAGATTTGCTAGATAAGGGTTTGAGAGT